TCTTTTATTTTTTTTTATAATATTTTTTACTTTTTATATTTTACTTATTATTTTTTTTTATATTTATTATATATAGTATTTTTTAATATTTTATATTTTAATAATATTATTATTTTTTGTTTGTTTCATCGCTAAACTTTTTATTATTTTGTAAATTTGAATACTTAACTTTTTTTTTTTTAAAAAAAAAAAAAAAAAAAAAAATGAAATCATTAAAAATTTTTAATAAAAAACAAAAATGAAATATATAAAAGCGTTGTAGCAAAAAAAAATCTCTTGTGTACATAAAATCTTTTTTTAAAATGTTTCTTCTCAATAAATATTTCGAATAATAAATTTCGATAATAAAAAAATTATAAATAAAGTGATATATGACTAAAAATAGGCTGTGTTTTTACTGTATTAATTGTGTTAATAAGCTAATGATCATGATAGCGTGGCAAATTGATAATGAATAAACTAAAATTCTAATTGATCTACGGAAATTAAAATGAAGAGACTTTTACGGTATATTTTTGTATATTTTCTAAAAATAAAATTTTTTTTTTCTCGATTTTCTTTTTTTTTCATTCAAAGTTTACTATTTTATTTGTACTTTGTAACTTGTACTTTATATGTAATATTATAATTTATTATTACAAAAAAAGAGAGATTTATGATTTTATGATTTTTTATGATTTTTTTATGAACAAGTTATTGCCAAGACTTAAAAAGTGGTTCAACCTGTCTTTTTACTTGTTATTCTTTAAGAATTTTATCTTTTTTTAACCTGTTATTTTTCCTGATATCATAAGAGAAAAATGTTTATTTATTTATTTACGGGCATGTTTTACAATTAAGCTTAAAACTAGTTTTTAAACCGGTTTTTATAATATATTCGGTTAATTAATAACGTCAATCTATCCGAGGAGTTATAGTTTTACCATTTCGAATATCCCAAAACATTGATGTTAAGTCAATCAATTACTCTAATTATTAAAATTGAGCCTTTTTTGTCTTTTTTTTTTAAAAAAAAAAAAGAAAGTTTTTTTTTTTTTTAATCTTGTTATAAAATTTTTTAAACCTGATAACCTTGATAAAAACTTTTTATTCTTTTTTATTCTTTAAAAAAGGATTCATTCTTTACTCCCAAAATTAGATGAATTCCAAATGAATATTGAATGAATGCATAATGCAAGTCATATTACATTATTATATTATTATTTCACTCTTGTAACGTCTGACCGGCGCTCTGACTCGGCGCTTCTGATTATTATTTTTACTTTTGATCTTTTTTAAGATCTGATTATTAATATTATTACTATTATAAAAATTTTCATGATCTCTTTAGAATATTCTCGAGAATTTCGAGAATTACATTCTTTTTTTAAACATTTTGTGCATTTGTACATTTGTACATCAATTTCGGAATTTTTATCTTTTTTTTTTT